CCCCAAAACCCCAAAACCCCAAAACCCCGCCCTGCTTAATTTAGTTCGATTAGATAGTATTTAAATATTCTAGACGACAATTCTTAAATCATCTTCTTCTTTTTTACTTATTATGACCTTTAGTTTAGACATCAGCCTCTCTCTCAATTAGTCTTTGCTAATCAATTTCATCAGCCTTCAAAAGCAAATAATCTGCTAAAAAATCAACTGGGTCCACAGGTACTTTATGGCAAAGCTCTACTAATCCTTGCATTACATGTGAAACGATGTTGTCCATTAAATACTATCTGATAGGTAAAGTTCTTTTATCTAGCACATCTATCTCATTTAGTCTAGCCTACTGAACTTGCTCTTATTCCTTCAATCTTACTTATTTCTACTACTATCTCTCTTGTCTCATTTGCTCTTGTCTTTGCTTTTCTTCCTATTCTCTTTGCATCATCTCCTATTCCTCTTTCTTCATATTTTATGTTAATAAGTCCAGCTCCTCTTCGGATTTTTCTTCTTCTAACTCCTCTAATTTTCCATCATTCTCAAGTTGCTTTCGTTTCTTCTTCTTTTCCTTTCTCTTTAAATATTATAAGTCCTTTTCATTAATCAGATTCAAACAGCATGGCTTTCCATCTTTTTCAATTAATTTCGACATTTCATTCGTTAAGGAATCTTCCAGATCAAAGCAATTCAGCCTTCTGATGCGATCCAAGGGTAATAGTTTTGAAAAAAAGCTTATCAAAGTGTTTCCAGTAGCTTCATTTGTAGAGTCTCTGTATAACTTTAATCTTCTATCCATTCCTTGGTCATTATAATGTGTCGAGTTTAGCTAGTCTGCAGGGATAATTTGCTTAATTCTAGATTTTAGCTATACATCATCACCTTCTAATATGATAATATATTGAGGCAGATGATTAATCTTAACGTCAAAACCAGGGAAAGGATCAAGTTATAAAGAGTCATTATCAAACTAGCTCGGATCATAATCTTCGATTCTTCTTAAGTATAACTCAGTAGCATTTTGAAAATTTCTTGGAAACCCATCAAGAATATAGCCTTTATTTTTGCAGGCAGATTATTATAATTTTATCTTTAGCAGTTGATACAGGTAGTAATCAGGAATTCTAACTTTAATATTTGATCTATCTAACTCTGGGTCCTTTTTCTTTTTGGTCTTTTCATAATCAGCTACAATCTTATCTTTCTATTCTTCCATAGTTTTTTTAATTTACTGTCCAAGTTCATCATCTAAAGAGCCACATAATTCAATTAGGTCTGATACTTTGATATGAGGGATCCCATATTTTTAAGAAAGCAATTTCGCATAATGAGATTTTCCTGAAGCTGGAGGCCCATTGATATGAATTTTTAATGGAAAAAGACCTCTATAAGTGTTAAATTCATTAACAAGCATTTAGATCGATTGACTTGATATTCCACTTTTGCAATGCCAAGTCTCTTATTCCATAAAAATCCTAGAGGGTTAAATATCAAGATCAACAGAAAGAAACTCACTCCAATCCTCATCCATTAAGAGACTTACATCAAAATTCTTGAGCTTCCCACATCCAAGTGCTTTTGAAATCGTTTTTACAATTTACTTCTAAGTAAATTTGCTATTATCTTTTATAATAAAGTACTACTACTAATACTTGTTAATAATAAGCTGCTTAACAGATCTAGCTAAATCTTGTACATGTAAAATGGGCAAAATATTTTTTCCATCTCCAGCAACTGGAAGAGTAGCTAATTTCTTATGCAAGCTGAGCCAAGATCTTCTATAGAAGTCATAAAATACTTCATTCATCTCTCCCTTGCCGTAGGGAATACCAGAACATAAAACATGGCATCTAAGAGATTTATTAGACTTCTATGCAGTCATTAATAAATTTTCTACATTTTTATGTTATTAATATCTTGGAGGTGGTACACGGTTCTAAAAGTCTTTATCAACAAAGGGCTCATACACTACAAACTTTTGCTTTAATTTTGAAGATTGCTTATATTATCTTTGTACTTAAATATCATCTTCAGTTGCTAAGTCTTTGTTTAAATTTCTATCGCTTGTGATATTCATCTCTTCATCAGAGCTCTCTTCATATTTTTCAATGAATTTCTTGGGTGTACAGATCCAAGTCATCACAGTTGATATCAAAATTACTATTTTCTCTTATTGATGAGATTCTGGTAGAGATTTGATAATTTTCACAACAAGATCGATCTCATTAAAGTCTACTCCAGCGGTTAAAATATCAATTATAAAGACATCGCATTTCTGGACAATCTTTTTGAAGGATCTTGGCTTATTCTGATAGTCAATAATTCTTATTGTGTTTGTAGGTGCAAAAGGTATTGAGTCGGAAGCAATCTGCTTTTAATTTATTGTGCCATAGAACATATTTGATTGTTCCCCAGAGTAAATAGTGATATGATCGTTTCTAATTTCCTCGAAAACTGAATGCCCAATTAATGTGTTAATGCCATTCATGTATATCCTTTTACTATTTACAGCAGGCGGGTGAAATTCTTAAGTTTCATCCGTCTTGATTAAATTTTCAAATGCCACAACATTATTCCTCATTGATGAAGCCATATGATTTAATTCAAATTTAAATAAATTTCTGAAGACTTCTAAAAATACCAATTTCCATTAAAGTGGGGTTTTGGGGTTTTGGGG